GGACCTTCTGATTTCCAGGTTTCAGCAGCCTCTCCTGACCTTGTCCCTTCCCATTTCAAGCTGTGTTACTCTTCCAGGGGTGCTGAGAGACCCAGGTGAACTCAGCTTGGCCATTGCAGTGTTAGGCAGTTTGTTCTGGGGGCTTCTCTACCCTTTTTGGCCTTTGTACAATAAGGTCGTGGTAAAAAGTAGATGTAGTGGAATTTCAAGTGTTTCCATGTGCAATGAGTTCTGTTTTGAGGAAAAAAGACTGTGATGACCATGGGGCCTGGTGTTCCAAAGTCAGAAATAAACACTCAGTGAAACTGTGGTTTTCCTCTCCACTGTGTATGTACCCACCTGAATCTAGAGCACAGACCTTTATATAGGCTAAGTGCTTTGATATTAATGGTTTTCTATATAATATTAGCTTATTTGTTATCATCATTACGTTATGATGTTTATTTATTTCAACAAACCCACATTTCTTCCTTTTTTTTCCCCCCCAGAGTGACCGACTACTCATTAAAGGTGGAAGAATTATCAATGATGACCACTCCTTCTATGCAGACATATACCTTGAAGATGGACTTATAAAGTTGGTTTTTTAAAATATTGAACTTTTTTTGCATGCCTGTTAGTATAGACCACTGTGATTTCTTGATGATGCTGACCTGAAATCTTGCAGCCAGCATCTCGGTTATCTCTAGATGTGGGGCCATAGTAGAGGAGTGTTTAATTATGAAATTCTGCTATTTTATCTTTACTAAGATCGGGTCAGTGGATAAGTAGAAAATTTCTTTACCATAAGTTGAAGATATTTGCTTTTCAAACAGTTCAATCCTAGTTTCTTCCAAAATAGTCAAGGCAAGTAGGCTCTCTCAACACAAGAAGTAGTGGTAAGGACAATAGACATTTTTTGGGTCCATGTATGACAGAAGGCTCATTACAGCTTTTTTCTCCCATCTAACCAGGGCAAATGCAGCCATGCTGTAAAGGATTGTACGGCACAAAAATGTGTCGTGTGTTACACGGTGATGATGGGGACCTACTCCTCAGTCACCCTGTTGGTTAATGCTGAAGCGTAGCAAGTTCTGTTCCTACAGCATTGTTGTGCATTGCTCGGATGTCCCTTTTCTTGCCTAGAAAAGGTATACGATCTTAAATCTTCACACAATTAGAAAGAAAATCCTACTGATTTATTAGGATATAAAATACTGGAACTGAGAAAGTATTCCTTAGGTGAAAAACATGAAATTATGTGTTACTGATAGCCTGGGAAACAGAGAGATGTTTATGTACTCTACTGGTCCTACCTTGGCTTAGTGGAGATGAGAGTGTCTAGTTTTGCAAAGTTATGTAGTGTGTACAAGCACCCTGATGTACACAAAGATCAAAGCCTTTTTGTTAATTACTAAACATCTTCACTAGTGACGTAACAGGTTTGGTCTCCAGAGGCTGCAATTTCATGCACAGAAACATAATTATGGTTATCTGGTAAATAATTAATTGCCTACTTCTTTTTAGAGCTCCTTTTGTTAAGAATATATAATCAGATTAAAAGTCCAGTTTTTTATATATCCGTGACTACTTACATTATTCATGATTCAGGTTATTATAACAGAAAAAATTCTGAACACTGTTATCGATGTACTGTGTGATTGTCTTCTTAATACTTCACTCTGCCGTTCCAGTTGTAGTGTTACTTGTATTACAGAAGTGACAAAAGCAGCATATTGTTTTAAGTGGAGAATGCACAAAATTTTGAATGCCTGTCTTTTTAAAATGGCAAAAATCAACGAAATTGTGCTTTGAAAGGTATTTAAGTTGTGTTTTTCTGTGCTTTTGTTTGTTCAGATGCAAATTTCCTAGTAACTTTTATAAGCATCGGAACTGTTTTAACAACTAAGTGCATGAGATGCTGAGAGTCTGAAATTGCTGTGAATTTTTGGCTTGATTCCAGAAATGCAGTGGTGCTTGGTAGGCAGGTTAGCAATGCCAAGCTTTCAGCTGCCCTTGTTAAGTGCATAGACTCTCTCTGAAATCCATGCATGGATCCATACCTCCAGAAAGTATCTCAGCTGCTCAAGATAGCTAGGATTAATAATGAATAGACAGGCAGGATCTTAATTTTTAAAATGCCTTTCTCTTTGTGGAAGGAGGCAAGTTTACTATTCAACACCCCGAGTCGTGCCTGGTTCCCTGGATTTAGATGACTCGAGATTTTTCTTTGTAAACTGTGCAAGAAGTCCTGCTCTGAAAAACCAGCTAATTTGTGAGGGCAACCTGGAGTGAGATGGACTTGGGTCCTAACTGTTCAGATGATAAATTCTGCAGTCTAGGAAAGCACTATATTTTCTGGGATTAGTCTCTTTTAGTTTCTGCAGCTGGAACTGCCCATTGTGTCTGAATATTTAAGGTTGCTGTTACATGTTGCTCAGGATCCTTGTTACTCAAGGTTGTGCTAGGACCTTGAACCTCAGGCATCCATGTTCCAGTTGATGCCCTAACTCTCCAGGTGCAGATCCTGCTGATAATACAGAATTCTTTCCACAGAATGGAGCAGACACCAAACCACTCGGCCCAAAAGAGGCAATAGCGTCCTGGTTTTGCTAGGATATAGAAGATCTGGGTTAATTTCCTTATTCTGTGGTGGAAACTGATTGGAAATTAGAGGACTGTGTTTCTCTTGCAGACTAATGAAATGACTAGGATATTTTAATGCTTATGTCTCTGCACATTGTCCTGCAGAGAGGAATGTAGATATAACCTTGAATGTGTTTGAAGATTAGCTATACTTTGGAGGATGGTAGATGCTTTTTCCTACCTATCAATGCTCAAAACTGGCTCCCTAGGTACAAGCGAGCAGTGAGCCATGTGGATTTTTCCTAGCTGAAACTTCAGCCCTGCACACTCGGATGGCAGCTGAGAGGCAGTTCTCTGATATCTAAATAGTAATTTAGATATTTAGTAATTTAAATTGCCATTGGCTCCTAAATAATATATTTTGCTTACATCTATCCTGTCTCTGTTATCCATACAAGGAATGAGCCCTTGTCTCCATACCAAGTGGCAGATCACGGTCTGGTACTTGCTGTCCTCTGCTCCGTCCCTGCCAAGGGGAAGGGTCGAGTCCCTCCGGGCTGGAGGGGACTAACCAGTGTGGAGGATGGGTGGCTGGGGATGGGGTCTCCAGAGCTGGGCAGGAGACCAGCCAAGTTAGAGGGAGCCTCAGATGCCTGAAAGAGATCTGGGCTTGATAACAACAGAAATAACCACAGAGTTCTGGGGGAGGTTTTCAGCTTTCTTAGGTTAAGCTTATGAAGTGTTGAAGCCTGCTGTTTCCATTGTGCTTTAATCAGCTTGTGTACAACACAATTTATCAATTTGTTCAACTGAAGATGATAGACAGCATCAGCTTTCTGTGAGTCTGAGTTTCCTAGTTGCTGGTGCATCAGAAAACCAGCTCAGTCGTTTATACAGCGTCTAGATTAAGTGTTATCTGTGCTATTGTATTTTTTCACCCACGAGTAACTGAACCCCATTCTTATTAACATACACTTCGCATTAATGAGTGAGCAATTCGGGAATCCTGTCACATTATCTCTTACTCTGTGTTCTAGTCAGTCAGCATAAAAATAACCTTGAATGCTGGTGAAAGATCAGCCTTCTCCTAGCCTTAATCTTGATGCCAGGGCAAGAGATGAGGCAGGCTCCTGGCAGGTAATAGCGCAGCATCATTTACAAAGGCCATTTGGTCCCATGTCACTTCAGCATGGATGACTTCAGCCACTGCCAAATAAGCTGTTACTCAACCGTACACTGAAAATAACGAGCAGTGAGTCTTCAAAAAACTTCAGTACATGCTTAGCACTCTTTCGTTTTGTTAGGATATGTGTCTTAAATAGGGAACTGATAGATACTGATTGTGAAAGAAAATAAAAATTAATTACTTTTATATTTTTGTGTAGGTTTTCTTTAATATTATTTTCAGAGGGTGTGGTAGTCGGAGTGCAATTCCATCTTGACATATTTAAAGGAGATCAGTCATGTTAAATTTTCTTTCCCAGTTCAGTTTTTTAGCCGCACAAATGCTGTACAAAGGTTGAAGATTGTTCTGATTAAAATCTTGGGAGTGGATTCAACTAACGAAAATTAGTGCAACACCATTATTATATGTGGGGCTACCTGAGTTTATACAAGCATTCAATCTGCTCATGGGTTGAAGTGCCTTGTGATACGCCTTTGTGAGTCAGATTTTAACAGCAGAGGAGCTTCTTGCAACTTGTTTGCGCGATTGGATGTGCTGGGCTGCTGCTGGCTTTTGCATACATATCATTTCCCTGTTTGTCATGGTATCGTTAGTGCTCCGCACAGCTGTAAACAGGTTATGACATGTTCCCAGTGCTATACGTGTTGATGGCTATTAGACGCCAGACATGGAGTTGTACGGCTTGAAGCCGTGATATTATCAGCTCTCACGAGTAAGCCCTTCTGGGTTCGTTCAGCGCTGAGCGGCTGAGACCCCAGCTTGGGGTGCTGGCGGGGCGTTCGCTAACGGAATATCTGTGCTTCCCTCCAGCCAAAACCCAGAGCACCGGGGGAGCCAAGCTGCTGGAGGTGACATTTTACATAGCATAAGAAACAAATTCTTGACCTCTTGGGGCTCTTTATTAACTCTGGCAGTTTGGCCAAATTCCAATGTGAATAATTATCCCCTTTTTTTCACTGGTTTTAATTAACAGTTATATTAATTTTTGGTTCTAGCTTGTTGTGATTGGCTGTTAATCAGTCGCTGTGTTTTGCTCCATAGGTGGGAATTGCATTTTAATATGGGAGAAACAGATTCAGCAGCCCAGATGTCTGGGGTATTTGTTTAGCTGTGGATAAATGTTACTTTATCCCAGACAAAAGGAAATTAAGACAAGGACTGTGTGTCTGTAATACGAGATAAACTAAGTGAACTTAAACTGCCTTATAGTTATCTCTAAGCCCAAATATATTACGGTGTAACAGTGCAGAGACATGGCTTCCACACAGACCTATGCCTTTTCCTGCTTGGCACCGTGTGAAGTAGACAACAAAGATGTAATGTGGCTTTAAAGGTTAAAGGTTAATTTACTTGTAGTTGTGTCCATGAACACTAAAAGTATTTTGATTGTAAGTATCTGGAGTTTGCTTGATATCAGCATGGGGGACAGATTAGTATTTTTAATAGTGAAGAAAAATACCCTGTTTTGAAGAACTGAAGGGAAAAAGATGACAACAGTTAATTAATATTTTTCCATACAGTTATGCAGAATGTTTCACTATATCTTAACTTTAAGAGGAGGATGAAGAATATGTGACATGGTAGATTAGAGGTGTTTGGATCTCTTAAATATGTATTTCTGTATCTTAGGATATTTAGATTTCTTTTTAAGGATAAATTTGCATTGCTTGGTTACAAAGTAATTATAACACCTTTCTGATGTGCCTTGTGCTTCTGCCATATATTTACAACTCCAGCTTGCTGTCGTATTTGATCTGTTTTTCTGCTTTCATTTAAGAACTTAATATACAAAACCGGAGCCCCCAAGAGAAAGTTAACTCTACATATTTGTAATTGTTTAAAGATAGGAATCATAAAAAAATAATCAGTTTTTAACGCTGGTGAATTACAGCTTCTTTATTGGCCACTAGAGCAGTGCAAAGCAAACCGAGCCCACGGCCCAGCTAGGCAGGCTCATGGATGCTTTGTTCTGCCAGTGCCGTGCAGAGCGGCCAGAGCGGGTGTTTGAGCTTCACCTTTCCTTTGGGGTCCCAGTTCTTTCTGTATGGCCTGTGGGTTCCTCTCCCCTACATGCCTCAAATAGCTTCTGTCCCCTGTGCTTCTTTGTTTAAGTAAAATAATACTGGCTTTCCTTGCTGCCTAGGCAAATAGGAGAGAATCTGATTGTTCCTGGAGGAGTCAAGACCATAGAGGCTAATGGGCGCATGGTTATTCCTGGGGGAATAGACGTCAACACTTACCTACAAAAGCCCTACCAAGGAATGACTGCTGTTGATGACTTCTATCAAGGCACAAAAGCAGCGCTAGCAGGGGGCACCACCATGATCAGTGAGTATTAGCAATACCAACTTCCCACTTCAGACTGAAGCTCGTGTAGCACTTGTGGGGATAGCTACAGGAGGCTCCATACCCATTTTCTGAGATCTGCAATGAATCTTCAAATTTCTGGGCACTGTATTGGAGATCCATTCATGATTGTCACTCACAGTTGGCCTGAAAATGAACCTACCCTCAGAAAGAAACAGTGGTGTGGGGAATTGTCTCTTGGATTTTCCTCTGAGATACAGAACAAGCACTGAGGGATAATATACCTACTCTTGGGGTTTTTGAAAAACAATGTAATTAGTGCTGTAAGTATATGGCGCAGAAAATCTGACAAAGATCTGCTGTTCCCACCTAGTGACATTTCAGGGGCTTTGGAATACCAAGGTGCTTATTTATTCCACCAGGAATTGAGGAAGTCCTTACCAGAGATGTCCTGGAGGAACGTCTTTCTTGGTGGAATGGGGAAGTGTTTCTAGTTGTTAAAGACCCTTCTTCTGTCTACCAGATGGCAGGACAGGATTTATCTCTTTCCTACTAGCAGTGGCTTGGCCGTTGGTTAGACTTTGTGAGGCAGTTGTTCAGTTGACATAAATTGTCTTAGCTTCTTTGTGCAGAGGAACTTCCCAGTGGGGTTTTACTCCCACTGGATTGGGATGTGGCTTTTTTTGCTGAGCAAGTATCAGCTGAGAGGATCTCTGAAAATAAGTGCAAAATGCACTGCTGTTCATTACTTTTGTTAATAATTTTTTCAGTGTATGTTCATTTGATGCTTCCTGTGCAGCGTTAGGTTTGCAAATGCCACTGGTAAGCTGATATTGCTTTGTTTCCCTACTTACTTTTGTCCTAGCCCTGCAAAGATAAGTATATATGCATAAGGAGTCATGTCTTTATTTTATGTCAGTAAACATTGTGGCATGATCAGATGCAGAAAGCCTTGAGACAGTGAAGATGCGTAGTTGAAGCACACTCAGTCTGCCATGTAGGGTGGCTGAGTGTTTGTGCTCTGCATCTTCTCTGTTCAGACCTTTGGCTGTATTCCCAATTCTGGCTGCTGAGCTGAGAAAAGAGTTCAAACATCTCCATTGATGTATTGGTAGGGCAGAGTGGGCCAATTCGGTGACTATGAGGCACTGGGTAATAATAATGCTTACTATGAAATACATAGAAATGGACACATCAGACAATAAATACAGGTAAGTCCAGAACTTGTGATCTCTTACAAAACAGTCAAGGGAAAAACAAATGTTTCCCAAACTGTGAGATGTTTGGCTCTCCCACTGTGTGTCCATTGATGCTGCACCAAGTGGGTTGCCAGACTCAGCTTTAGTATAGACTGTCCACAAAGTCTGCTATACCTGAGAGAGCAGGGCCTGGGTAACATCCCAAAGTTAACGTCTGCAGACAAACTGCCTCCAAGGCTGCTGTTTTGGCTGAGATGCTGGAAGGCTACTTGCTCACAGGCACCGAGGAAATCTGAACAGTGTGTATGCGGTCTGGGTAACAGACACTGACTCTCTTTTTCAGTTGACCATGTGCTTCCAGAACCTGGATCGAGTTTACTGACCTCCTTTGAGAAGTGGCATGAGGCAGCTGACACCAAATCCTGTTGTGATTACTCTCTGCATGTGGACATCACCAGCTGGTATGATGGGATTCGAGAAGAGCTGGAAATACTGGTGCAAGACAAAGGTTAGTGAGTGAAAATCAGTAGTCTTTTTTTCGTTTTATCGAAATATCATATGGAGGTGAAATTTTGAAGTATTTTAATGAATGCATCATCCAGAACAGAAATGCACAGGTACTGGTTATGCTATCCAAGGTTCTGTGCTACCTTGAACTTTTCTGTTCACTTGCTGCTGTGTAAAACAGACCTAAAACTTTGTGCACTGGAGCTAGTCAGCAGCAAGGCCCATGGAGGGAGTAGGCTTACCCTGATACAGGCATGGAAAATTAAGATGTGTATGTTGTCAGATACAAATGTGTCACTTTATGCTTGCTTGTACATGTGGAAATAGGCTCAGACATTGCACAGTTAGCTTTTATTTTAAGGTAAAACTCAGAGATCAGCATTTAGGGTAATCAGCCCAGTCACCTTAGATCCTCTATTTCATGAATGGGGAGAATGAGACGTTTCAAGGTAGCGGTTCGGATTTTAACTAGACTGGAATCGGCCCATTTAGTTGCCTCAAATTAAGCCCAAATATGAAGGGCACATGTGTCTGAGAAATTGTCATCACAGGCTAGATCTCATTTCTCAGCAATGGCTTAGGATAATTTACTTGCTGAGACTAGATTTTCGTATAAAACATGCCTATATTTTTAAAATAGGTTCAAGTTATTAGAAAAAATAGATGCTAAAGTTAGGTACCTAATATTGAAAAAATGTCCTGATTTTCTCAAGTGCTTGGTCTCCAGTGGTTTTCCCTGAAGTTACTAGAAGATGATTTGTTTCAGGACTTACAAGAAACAGGTCATTTTTTTAGGAATCTAAGACACTTATGGGCTTGATTTGGTTCAACTAAGAGGTCTGCTATCATGTGAGATGCTGTAGGTTATCCTACCTGAAGTCCAGCTACCAGTCTAGAATAGTACAGATAAAACCTGTCATAAATCCTTTTCCATACATGCCAGCTCAGCATGACAGCCTCATATATGGAGAGCATCTTGGTGTCACCAGATACCTATGTGTGGGCAATTGAATCCAGCCTTCAGAAAATCCTAGTTTGGATCTAGTTCCTTAAAATTCTACCTAACAGCATGGATTTTCTTTCCAGAAACATTTTTTTTCAAATATTTTTCAGTTGATACTTTCCTTGAAAGTGTATGGTTATTTAGTTACCATGGGTATCTAGTTACCACAGGTAAATCAGAATGACCCTTGTGTTGGGAAGTCTTAAGTAGTGCAGCATCCTTTGTAGGGTGTAGTGCTAGTAATGACTTAGATTTGAAATATTCTCTTTATAGAGAAATGTACTATCAAAGTAGAAAAACAAAGCAAAATCGTGGTTTTGAGTGAGCAGTTTTTCACTGAGATACTATGGAGGTGCAGTCACCTCGGGGAATTTATCCTGTATTGCAGCATGCTAGCAGTACGTGTGCTGTATAACCAGATTTTAGGCAACAAACCCCTTCAATCAGCAAGATTACACGTAATTTAGAGAAACTGCAGCTGATCTTACATAGGTCTTTGTAATATAGGTGATTTTTACAAGGTGATGACATCTGTCAACACTGATAGTGCTAAATCTGTGCTGTTTCCCTGCTGTCAGCGTTAACATGGATACGCTGCTGTGCATTAGCTGACTGTACTCTCAGACAAGTATACTGTGCCTTGTTTCAAAGGTTAGATACTATTTTCCAGAGCTTCCAGGTCACAGATGGCTCAGCACTCCCACATTTGCCTGAGGGCTTACATTAAAAGCCTGATGCAGACAGTTAGGTTAATAGTTTTCTCCAACTATCGAAATGTGAGTTTTCAATATAAATCTGACCTACCTTTCAGTCTTCAGGCAAAGCAGTTATCTGTTCATCGGTTCCTGAAGAGGGATTGTGATGGGGCCCTTGGTGGCCTCTTTGGTGGCCATAGCATTAGGAGGTCGCCTTTGTTCTCACGGATGCTGCAGTATGTCTCAGGCAGTCAATGTGAATTACTCTCGTGTTAGGACACACAAGGTAAGGGCGAGTATGAAAGCACAAGCACAATAGGAAATATTTCAGTGTGGCAAGGGCTTTCAAATTAATGGATAATATCTGCTGATAATTGGAAACATTTGAGCCAGCTGGTACAAATAGACTGAATGTCAGTGGAGTGACACTGGTTTTCATCAGCTGGGAATCTGGATTGAATTTGTTCTTGGCTGATTGTCTGGTGGATGAGTTAGCTGAGTAACAGGGCTCAGCTAATTGTGTTTCAGTGCTGCATGTGCCTAATACAATCTCGGCATGAATAACAGGAGAGCTCACAGAGCTGCTGTTGAGGTGCCTTGTCATGAGGTACAATTGAATAATTAATCACTTTTAAATCAATACAAAGCTAATTTAAGGAGGCACAGGCTTTGGAAGGACCTGGAGATTTTGTAGAACCAAATGTTGACTATAAAGACTCAGGCTTGTAGCACTTCGGCAGCTAATTTGGGACCAGTCTTCTCCAGTATATGCAAAGGAACAACAGCCTGAAATGCATTGACAGAGGCCTCACTTGTTCCTTTAACTACTGCACTTTGTCACTGTTCAAAAAGACCTGGAGCACTGTCTGAAATGCGGAGAGGATCCTATTGAGTGCTCTTGGTGCAAGGTAAACAAGGATGTAACAAATGTTAAGCATTAAGGTCAATAGGCCGTGGACCAGGGCTTTTGAAAAGCCACACATTGCCAATGAGTAGATCAAGACACCAGACCAAGGCATTAGGTATAGTCTAATCTTGGATAGCTCTATATGTAAATTGCTGCTATTTTGTCTTGGTATCTTGTAAAGGTACTCTCTTTCCAAGACAGGGTGGTTCAAACCGTCTCCCCTGTTTGCTGTAAAGGAAGCCCGTGAGATGCCCTTCCGCTTTGTGTGTATCTGATGTGGTAGCCAAGGGCATGGATGTGCATTTAGGTGGGAGAACTCTGCTTCTCCACTGTGGGAGCTGTCGGTAAAGGATAAGCTCAAGATACCATGGCGGGATCCCTGCTGGTATCCCTTCTGCTCTCATTGACTTCAAGGAGAACATTAACATGAGTGGGAGCAAAACTGAGTCATTTTACCAAGGTCAGAAAAGGGCCTAGGAAGATCCAAAGGCAATAAAGAAAAAGGAAGAGAATATATATTACTTGGGTCAATGTATGTCTTCCAACCACAGTACTCAGAGAAAGCTGCATTATCTCCTGCAGGACTGTGATTAAATGAACTATCTTTGGCTAGATCCCAGTGGATAAGGGAGAGCAATAGGTAACCCAGTTGCTGACAGAGAAATGCATACGAGAGGATGCAGTCCGGTGCCATGACTGAGGCTAGTTGGCATGGCTAGGACCAGCCTTGACACATCTCTCATTGCTTCATGTGTGCATGGTCACCCATGCAGAAAAGTGGCTCCCAGGTGCAGCTGACATCTGAGACACTGAGTGGGTTTGTGAAGAGAAAACAGAGCTTTTCTCCAAGGCAGGTCGAGCAGATGTGCTGGATGCTGCTGTGATCAGTCAGAGGGGAGACGGAGCTGCAGGCATGAGGCTGTAAGCATTGGCCCCAGGGAAGATATAGTCAAGCTTAAAGGTTTTAAAGTGGGGACATATTGAGTACTTTGAAACTGCGTAATGAGGAATAGACTGAGGGATTACAGTTAGTAAAGGCCATGTGTGTTTTCTAGGAACTTAAGAAATAGGAAAATAGGAAGAAAGGACAGGCTTACGGGCTGATGAGGCTCCACAGTCCAGGCTGGATTTGCTCAGCGTGGAAGTTGGCAAGGAGAGGCCAGCTTCTGCTTTGGATTTCTCCCTGAGCTGGCTGGACTTAGCAAGAAGACATAATACCAGGGATCATTTCAAGGTTTTATTCTGCATGTATCCTGGGGTAGTTTAGTATTGTAATTGTGAATAAACAAATTCTCTCTGTGTGTGTGAACAGCCATACCCTCTGCCCGAGGATATATTTGCTCAGTCTAGACTCATGAAGGAGTTACATCTTCATCAGAAAGCCTTATTCATTTTGTGTAGACAACAGGAATAACATGAACAGATCTCTTTCTTTTTCCTCTTGCCCCAGTAAGCACAGTTTTCATGACAGCTATTTTGAAATGCAGCATACGTGGCTTAGACAGCTTGGAATTTACTTTTCCTTTAAACTAGAAAACTCTGAGATCAGTCCCTGTACCAAACTGGAGATGTCATCACTAGACTAAAGAGTAAGGCAAATTTATAAACTAATACGAATTCATATGTACAAAAAATATGAACAGAAGATGTTTGGAATTCCAGTTCTGTTAGAATACGAAGCTGTGTAAATAATCAAATCTTTGAAATAAATAGCAAAACTTGTAGGGGTTTGAGTACAGTTGGTTCTTGGCAACCAACACTCAACACTAGCATTTCTTACTGATTTCTAAAATTTGGAGCTGTCATCTTTCATGGTTTTATATGACTGCCAACATAAATCCTTCGATCTTTGAAAGGTGGAAGGAGAGGTATGTGAGCTGCCCTTATAACTGGTTTTAGGTTTTGCTTCCACTCCTTCCCAGTGTCTGCCATCAGCTAAGCTGGCTGCATTGGGCAGTAGGGTCGAGAAAAAGAAAATCTGTATGCAAATTCAGGTACCCAGTTCCAACAGCTTCTCAGTACTTTGGGGGAACTTAAGTAGAAGTTTATCTGTTAAAAAGAACAGTTTCAGGTCAAGCTGAAGTGTTTCTCTCATTAGCTAAAGAAAGCTAAAAAGAAAACCAGTGATTCACAGAACCTTGCGCAAGTTTTTTTAAACTTCACAAACTTTACATGCTTGCTTTAGCCACTGTTGCTTGTCTGTGATTTGGCTACAAGCAATCTCGTTTGCAGTGGTGGCTGAGTTGCTGCAGGGCTGAACACAGGCAGTCCATGGAGTCCAACAAATTCCCCCAGAGAAAAGAGGATTCAGGCTTCTAGTCCTAGTGGCTGTAATTCAGCTATGGAGCCATGCTTTATTTCTGGCAATCACTGGTGAAAAGCCTGGTCCAGACATATTCTATGACTTATTTTTCCTGAAGTTTTTGTTCAAATACAATTTTAGAATCTACTTACATGGCAACACCTTTGAATTTTGTCTTGGAACAGGTGTGAATTCTTTTCAAGTCTACATGGCCTACAAAGATCTCTACCAAATGTCCGACAGCCAGGTATTGCTCTGAATGCTTTTCGTTGCTGTGATCTCTGCTCTCTTCTATGATATCCCAACACTTGAGGAGTTGCTAAGGTTGAATCCCAGAGAAATGTTCCCACTGACCTGGGTGGCACTGGGGGAAATGTGCAGTGGGCGGGGAAGTTCTCTCTGGAGGGTCAGTGCTGAGCAGTGTTGAACATCTACACGTGTTCCTTCAAGTGTATGACATTCACTTTCTGCAAAGATCTTCTGGTGTCTCCCAACACTGCAACCACTCAGCACTGCTCTGGATTTCGCCCTCACTTTATTTTGCTGTTACATTTCAAGAACTCTAGGTCAGAGAGGGAACAAAAAATGAAGCACTTGAGGCAGTGGCAGTTTTGAGGTTTCAAGAGTTCCTTGGTTGCTGAAACAGCTCAGTGGAGTTGCGCTTTGGGGGAGGTGGCCTTTTCTCATTAGGACTGGAGATAACAATGAGCTTGTTTGTCCAGAGCTCATTACAGATTCCAGACTCTTCAGCTTTCCCATTCATAAGTATCAGGTCATTGTAAATGGACAATGGCATCTGTTAGTAATAATGTTTGCTTATTCAGTTGACAAAATGTTTCTTTCTTACTTATTCCCAGAGCTATAGCTCTCAGTCTCTTAAATAACTGTTGTTACACCTCCAATACATGTGGTTTTAATTGGAATTTTAGACATATTAATATATAAATATTCTCTGAGAGGCAGTGCCTGTTAAATTCAACTCCCTGTTGGAATTGCCAAGAGAAATCCATCAAAATGTTTAATGTGTGGCTAGAGTAATGCCTGTTACCTTGTTTAAATGTGCATGTTGCAAGCTGGGTATTCCGACCCATTCAATGCTAGCTGAAGTGACCTAATGCAAAAGTGGACACTGAAGAAACCATGTCTTCAGTATTTGATCTGTGTTCAGAAAGTAAGCTCTCACATTACTGACATCCAGTTTAAACAGGGAACACATTAGCCGAATACTCTTTGGAAAATGAACTGAATTTCAGTACATCTGTGCTCAGAAATTCTCAGTAAAAACAATAGGATCAACTATTTCCCTTCTGTATGGGTGGGTTTTGAATCTTAGAAAGCAGTAAAAAAGGGTGCTCTGGAGAAAATATTGGAACTTTTAATTGCAGAATCAAAGATGTTGGTGAAAGCTTGGCACTATCTGCTCTAAGAAGATGGTGCAAAATGCCTGCACTTCAGAAAAGAGGTGTTCTAGCTGTACTAAAAGTGTCTGTAGTCCATGGGAATAATTCCATTTTACATTAGCTAAAACTGCGGAAAAGAAACTGCTCACTAAACTTAGGCCTGCATGGAGGGGCATGAAGAGGTAGCCCTGCAGTACAAGGGGCTGGGGGAGGCACTGTGTCCGAGGGAGGTGCAGCCCTGCTCGGGACTTCTGACCCTGTCTTGATGCAGAAGGGCAGAAGCTGGTCCTGGAGCTGACTGGTGTGCAAGGGGGTGGGTAAGTCAACACCAAACGGTGAAGCTCAGGCTCCGTGTAGAAAGCAGATGGTGGAAAAGGGAGGTAATTTGCTATTCACCTACTTAATTATCGGCATAGAAGGTGCAAAACTGAAGTGAACAGGGAGCTCTGAGTGTTAAGTAATATGTTTTCCTTATTCAGCAGTGTTTCCTTCTTTGTACTACCTGCAGCTTTATGAAGCCTTTACCTTTCTAAAAAGTCTTGGGGCTGTTATCCTGGTCCATGCTGAAAATGGAGACTTGATAGCTCAGGTGAGTGAACTGTCATTTTTGCTTCACTTGTGAGAAGATAGGCACAAGGGAGAAATAAACCCCTCCAGTCAGAGTATGGGTAGGAAGAAAGGAGCTAGCTGGTAAGTGCCTTAATTGAGCCTGATGCCCTGCACAGCACTGGTATAAAGCCTGGGATGAGAGGATGGCAGAGCATCTGTGAGGTCGAGCAGTGATGCAGAGAGCTCCTTGCCTTGGCGGCAGATGAGGTCTGGATGAGGGGGACAGAAGGAAGCAAGAAGATCTCTTCCGAATCTGTCAGAGACAAGTGAAGCAGAACAATGTAAAGCCTTGCTCAGAGATTTTGGGGACAAAAAGTGGAGTTGGGAAGCTTTATGCTAACGTCTCTTGCTGCAGCTATCAACATAAGCAGCATAGTGAGTTTGGAGTGGGTGGTAAAGCTCTCAGACCTACTTATTTTTGAGAACATTCTTATAAATTTCTGAAGTTTGAGAATAAGAAACGACCGTCATCTTCTAAACGTTTCAAAAATGTGTGTTAAAGTGCAAGTCATGCTTTTTGAAGATGCTTCTGAGAACCAGGAAACTGGACTCAAATTCAGTATGTTCCATTAAAACATCCCGGATCCCCAGTGCAGTCTTTGCAGGTCAGGTCCCCTGCGTAAGTACTGTCCTCACACGGGAGTGTGTTGTAGCTCTGATCTGTGCCACAGCACATCGAAAGAGGTATCCCAAGGACAACAGTCAATAGTAAACCTCCTGCTGAGCTTTCAGAGACCAGGATTCCCCTGTAAAACAGAATGGGTGGGTTTGGGTGGGTGTTGTTATGACTCTGTACATCTGTGGCAGATAAATCTTTTAAGGCTGTTGCAGAGAGGTCTCCCTCTTCTGATCCCTTGTACGTGCATGGAGCCAGCTGATTTATCTGCTGAGCTCTTTATCTGCTGGCTTATCTGCTAAGGACGAGGCTACAGGAAAATTACAATAGCTAAAAAGAAGGTGTCTTTGAGATCTGGACTAGGGAAGCCACCTTGTCTCATGGTTAAGGGAGAACTTCAAGTGGTTGGGCAGTGTGTAAGGGCACTTGCCCACATGGGTTTATTTTGTTTTTCCCTCTGTGGGTTTCTGTCCTTTATCTGTCTGGTAAGAATTTACCCCCTTTGCAAGTCTTCTCGCCCTTTCCCCAGGTTTGGCTGTTGTGCAGTTGTGTCCTTCCCCCACTGAAACCAGGTGAAAACCCTCATTTGGATTCAAGAGGGGAAAACAAGCTGATTTCTCATGAGGTTTAGCATGATTGAAAACTACCAAAATATATAATTTATAGTTCTAATACAACATAAAATATACAGTAGAATGAAAGTGAATAATAAGAAACATAAGAAGTCAGTATTACTGTAGGAATGGCAAAATGAAACAAATCAAATGGCACCCGCAATGTTTTGGTATGTTCCTCATTAAAATCAAGGCACACTCGTGGAATTGCATTTCTGATAGAAATCTGTTTCAGTTACTTTTTTCTTTGATCAACTTTAATATACAGCCATGGAATATGAACATACAGGACAGAAAAATTATTAGCAAAAGAGGAAATAGTAAAAAATGTGAATTATGTTATACATCAACTTATTTCTTCACCATTGCCATGTCTCATAAAATCTATTTTTCCTTATGCTTTTATTTAGAAGGATTATTTGGATAGTGAAAAGAAAGCTGCCTACAGGGAGGTTTTTCAGGACTATCCTGTGTGAAAATACAGATTTGATCTTATCAAACAAATATTCTAGCTTATTAGCACTATCAAATCCTCTTACAGTGGGTAATTTTATCATATGATCTGATTTTATGACTTCCTTCAGGATGCAAATCTATCCTACTTTGTGCAGCCATTCTTTGCCATCTTGCTATGTTTTTTTATATGGTTGTAGCTTTATTTTTTGTTGTATTTTAATTATCTGGAGTCTTTGACTGGCACTGTTCAGAGCCGTTGAATTAATGATTTAGAGCAGCTATTTTTGAGAATACCTATGAAACATTATGATTTTCTAACCAAAATATTTTTAATTACACAGTCAGATTAATACATTCCTATTAATGCCTCCTCAGCCTTGATTGATTGCAATGAAGGTAAAAGTATACGTGAATATTAACTTGCTCAGGTTTTGCTGGAGTATGTTGGTAATGTGCGAGCGTTTCACCCCTCAGGGAGCTGGGATCAAATATTTATTAGATGACAGTGTAAAGTATGTTCGATAACATCAACCTGGTCTCTAGGGGACATTTGTCTGTATCACAGAGTCATTACATTTGTTGAACTCAGCTCATTAGAGATCTGTGGGCAGGGCAGGTGAGGGTCAGAGGTACATCAACGGCTCTGGCCCCACTTCTGCTCTGCTGGCAGACCTGGACCAACGTCAGATCAGAAGTGGTTGACCACCATTTTCTGCAAAAAGGGACATTTATTCCAATACCACTACCAGACCTTAAATTAAAAGATAGGTGAAGCTTTTTGTCTATTTTACAAAATTTATCTCACTGCTGTGAAGCTAGATAGCACAGATTTTCTCTGACAAACCCCCATTGGTCCTAAGATGGGCTTTTTGGTGTGGACACAGTGCCCTCACTACTAGAGAGCACTGTTTTGCTTTCCTGAAAACTATTTTAATGATTCACTCTGTAAGAAAAGTGTTACAGAAAAATGGATGCCAAAGGCAAGACCGTATTTGAAGAAGTGTCAGCATTGCTGAAAGTTTAAGGAAGGTAACAGTGCCTCATGGGTTGCAGCCAGAGAGGAACTTGTGCAAGTAAATAAAGAATCGCAGGCTGGAAATATCCATAATTGCTATTTAGTATCTTGATTGAAGCCTGTTCCCTGGGTTGGTGTCTTGGTGTGAAATAAGACTTTCTGGAGGGCAGAGGAGATTTCTGATGGTGCAGTCCAACGGCTCAAGGCACAAGTACACTCGATCACACTGCAGAGACAAATCTTCCCCTGAAGTCTGTGCTGGCTGTGCAGAACAGACACCGGGGTGGCATGGTACCAGTTTAGAGCCAGTGTTTTCAGCCCTCCTCCCCCAGCAGCAGGCTTATGCAGCTGCATTTACACAGTCAGAAAAGGGGCAGTCAGACAATATGGCTGTTAATCTGCTAGAGGATGCTGGGTGCAAGGGTCTCATCCTGGAGCAGTTGTCAGTATTTATCTCTTACGTTGCAGGAACAAAAGCGTATCCTGGAGATGGGAATCACTGGACCCGAGGGACATGCCCTGAGCAGGCCTGAGGAGGTAAGAGACTTGACTCATTTTGTCATTCATGAAAATACTTTGTTGAGCATGTAGTATCGGAGCTTGGCTTCTGTATGTGGAGATGATAGACGGGTGCGTGAGGGAAGGCAGCTGTCTGCTTCTCCCACAGCCTCTTCCACTATTATTCAAAGCCTTGAAAAGTCCAGGTCCCCTTCAGCTTATTTGTTTGCCTGAAATACCCTTTTGCTGCTGCAGCAGGTATGTTCCCTCGGTCCGGGTATGAGCGTGTCCTTGTACACTCAGGAGTTGCAGCTCCTGCTGCCCCAGGCACGGGAGTCGATGTGTTTTTTGAGTGTGACCCTTGTGATTTGATTTGTGATGACGAGAAAATGTCTTATTAGGGTGAAAATGGAGTATCAGGGTAAAAATCAGCAGTACAGCTTGTGGGTTAGGCTTCGGAGTAACTCCATTCATTAAAATGCTTTGGCTCAAAACCTCCTATAAGATGCATGTGTACATATATACCACGTATGTGCATACGCCCACATATAAATCTCGATTTATGCCGACAGATACATTTGTAGTAGAAAGCAGGCTGTAGAAATGCAAATATGTGAGAATGGAAAGATGCTGCGAGGCAGTTCATTTTATGCAACTCTCTCTTAATAAAAACCAGGCTCTGGCATGGATCATCTCAGGCATCTGGAAAGTGTGTCTTTAATGAGAAGGAAAAGGTGGAGACATGTAGATGTCCCTTAATGTACATAGTTCAGGCCGTTAATGAGGTGATGGAGGGCGGTAGTGGGAAGTGACTGCTTTCCTTGAAGACTAAAGAGACAAAGTCCTGGGGATTTGAGACTATACTTGAAGAGATTGTTGTGGTTTGTAGTTCTTTATATAACCTCTCCCCAAGGCAAAATGAATCGGCTTAATTGGTCGCATTCTTCTGTTGAACTGTTTATGTACTTTTTCATTTTGCTGTTTAACTTCCATCTAAATTATTCTAAAAGAATGGAATTGTTTCCTTTTAATGAGAGCAAGGGCCTAAGGAAAATCTGTATTTGCAGTTTCCAGAAAGGAATTCTGTGTCTTTCTGACCATGCATCTGACCACCTCAGCCCCAGTGCTGAGGTACAGAGGTCCTGCCTCCTTCCCTGGTCTTCTGTGGGTGCATTTGGAGCTTCCAGAGAAAATGTTGTGATAAAAGTCCTAGGCCAACCTGCAGCAACAGTCTGATTTAAGAAAAAATACTTTACAAAACTTTATAAAAAGAATTAAGTCACATGGTTTTCGAAGGGCTAAGTTGCTCAACTTTTATAGCCCAGCGCTTGGAGAGAAATTTCTGAACTGTCAAGTCAGTATTTTCAGTCACAACAGAGTTTTAGGTATTAAAATGCCCATACTGTGAGTCCATCTGGGAAGGAGGTATAAAACTGATGACTGGGGAAAGGAGTCTTCAGAGCCACTGGGAAGCAGAGCTCCTCTGTCTGAAGATGAATTGTTTGTGTGCCTACGTCCCAGCTGGCTCCCTGGGAGGAGATTGCCTTTATGCTTGCTGACAGAGGGGACTTACTGGGCGATGCTTCAAAGGCTTTTATAGATTATGGGCTAAATTCAGTCCATAGTGCTGAAATTGCTGTTTGAGAATACTTTACATTCACTGTCGTGTTATCCTTATGTAGAGATTGTATAGGGTAGGCTGCCAGGAGAGCTCAGAGGTTGTCTCTGAGAAACATTTCCTTGCTTTGTTCTGCTTCCAGCTGCAGGGTAGAAGTCGAAAGCAGAAGGGTGGGAGGGAGGTAAGGAGAAGCCCCATGAGCTGCTTGGATGTGACCTTTCCTGGGGTGCAGGGAGCCAGGGAGCTGCATTTGTGCCGGGGCAGCTGTACCCTGTTAGCGAGTACAGCCAGGCTGTGGTTACTCCTAATGCAAAGTGTCTGAGGCTGAGTTAGCTCCCCGTTTCCCAGCACTGTGTCTCTCTCTATGGAAAAAGCAGAATCAACCCCTGAAGAGTTGTTGCTAAACAGTGAGAATTATGGGTCAGTCCTGCAGTTCATTTGTTCTTTAGTCTGCTTTTGCACTTAACTTTTCCCTCCTTGTTTTTCTCAGCTGGAAGCAGAAGCAGTTTTCCGTGCCATCACCATTGCCAGTCGAATAAACTGCCCAGTGTACATCACCAAGGTGATGAGCAAGAGTGCGGCTGATATCATTGCACTGGCCAGAAAGAAAGGTAAGAGACTTCTCCCTCAAGCTCTTTTTTTTGTTGAATAATAGAACTTGTACATCTTTACCCAAATCACAAGATATAGGGAGAGGTTACCAAAGAATGGTGACACCATCACAGACCCTAAATATTTACAGCTGGGAAAGATGAAGGGAAATCCTTCTACATTTTTCAGTTGAGAAACTCTTCCCCACAAGCTGTCCTCTTGAAGACTGTGTTGTAACTCTTCTTTATCCTGTCTTCCCTTTTACTTTTCCCTTGGACTGCTGTATCTCTGTTCATGGGAGGGAGATATTTTGTTCATAACAGGGTCTAGCACATCCTCTGTGCCTTTTGGCGGTATTTCAGGGTATTACCCTCTGAGGGGTGGCTTGGGCAGTGAACCTGCTGTTAGAGATGCCTAACGCTCACTCTTGGCCTTGCTCCTGGGGGCTGATGTGGACTGGGGACATCTGTGGGTTGACACTGCCTGCGGGAGCCATGGAGGGACACAGGTGACAAAGCACCCAAAAGGGACTTGTGAGCCTGGAGGCAGCCGCTTTCAAAGCTGCATTTGTGAGTCAGGAGTGTTCTGCTGATTCGTGCTACAAAGTGCGTAAGCAATATGGAAAAGCCAAAGAGCAAAATACCGTCTTGATATTTGTATTCTTGGAAACTTGGAGTATGGTGCTCAGGGCCATATGCTGCTATCTGCTGGTGTTGTGCCCAAGCTGGGAGTAGTAAAAAGGCATGTCTGCTGGAGCCCATCCTCCACCTAAATGCACTCCAAATCAGAGCAACAGAGAGAACATGGCTGTGATTAAAACATTACAAATTAAACCCAGATCTGAACTGTCTCCTTCTGGATTAGAAAGAGAGCTTTGTAAATATGCTGATCAAAAGCATGTGTAGCTCAGAGACCCTCGTGACTAATTTTTTATCATACAGACAAAGCCAGGGCTGCTTAATTTCCTGGGAGCTATGCTGGCCATGTAGCAATGCATAAATTATACATGGCTGCATGCAGCAAGCAGTATAATGTGCTGAAGAGAGAGTGGATTGTAACCAGTTCCTGTATATCCTTGCTTTCCCCAAGGTCCCCTTGTTTTTGGAGAGCCGATCACTGCCAGCTTGGGAACAGATGGGACACATTACTGGAGCAAAAACTGGGCCAAGGCTGCAGCTTTCGTGACCTCACCACCTCTGAGCCCTGATCCTACCACTCCAGATCACTTAAATTCGCTCTTAGCATGGTAAGACCTTCATTTTTTTTTACAGGCTGATGATCACGCAAGTGCAAAAGCCACATGGGATGAAGCGTCTAGGGATTAGCTCAGTTTCCTTTAGACCAGTCTCATACATGAGACAGCAGAGAAGGGACACAGAAAACCAAGGATGGTTATATCTCTGTGTTTAGGTTGTCAGTCAGGTGAGCAGGCATGGACTTTCCAGCTCCTGGTTAGTGTGATAGAGAGGCAGCTATTCAGGAATTAATTAATTTTTTTCCTGCTTTTTAAGTGATTCCTAATTATACAGCTTGATAGTCTTTAGTCTAGGACTTCAAACTGGCTTTCTCCCTCGTTCTCTGTTTCCTCCAGCCAAATTGTTAATATGTGATTGGATGGCATCGTCACCATCCAGCATAGGCAGCAGCCTGGTGGATAGATCCCTATCAGTGAGAACAGACTCAGTTTTAAGCCCTGGCCATATCTGGCAAGCACAGATCCTGAAATCGGTGTGGTTCCTGAATGCAGAGATACCTAGAACCGAGAAAACTTTCCTGGTGCAGTTTTTGTCAAAGCTGGTGTGGGGCTGTAAGCTGTGAGCGCTTTTGAGAACTGGGCTGTCCTAAACTATCTTGTAAGTGTTTGTAGCAGAGTTCAGTGGTTTTAGCTTCTGTGCATTGACTTCTGATTTGGTAGTTTGCCTTCATCTGCAATGGACCAAAATCATTTAAGTTTACTTGTGTTTAGTTCTTGCAGCCTTGTTTTTACTTTTAGCTTGCCTTGTGTCTTTATAGGTTCCAGACTCCTCAAGCTGGAAGACAGCAAAGATAAGTGGTACATATAGAGAAGGTATGCCAGGCAGGAGAAAGAGGAGCCTGTCAGGGACTCAGGTGGAGACAGGCTGGTGACTGGAGGCCATCACTTGTCAGGACAGGGGTATGGGCTGACTGTCTACAGGTTGGCAGGCAGAGGGTTATCACTAGAGAGATGAAAGGAATGTGGACAGCAGAGGGAGAAGTGTCTTTCTCGTATAGAAAAGGAGAACTCAGCAATGCCTTGCCAGCACCCCAGACTGTAAACACATCCCTGAAAGTATTTCCTGCCTGTAGCCAACTTTGGGTCTTCTTTAGCTTACGCAAAAGACCATCTGCTTTGAAATGATAAGGAGATTCACAGCTGAAGTCCCACCAGGACAGATTGCTAGTGCGGGAGTGAGGAACTCAATTTACCATTCAAAACCTTATTTAATGCCATGTGGTGGCACTCATCTCACCTGCTACCTCTCCTTTCTAGGGTTTCCAATGCTGTAGACCAAACAGTAGAATTTGAACCCTAAAAGTGACCCATTGGTCTTCCGAAAACATTTCTTCTGAGGTTAGTTTTCCACATGACTAACTGGCAGGCTGTATGGCAGGCACTGCCAGTGTGGCTGATAATGTGAGGCCCCTGCATGTGTAATTCAGGCTTGGGCAGAGCTGCCCTTTAAGTGAATGGGCACATATGTGTGATGGGAAGCTGCCATCAATCAATGCCACTGCTGCAGTATGCACACATATCGCCTTGCACGTGGTGGGTCAGGCTGTGCAGTCCACCAAACCCAGGTTTTAACTCAGCTGACCTAATGATGCTGCACAGACAGCACTACTAATGAATGCACAGCTGAGCTCTGAGTTAAATGCAGTTCTGGTAAGGATACGCAGGAATTTGTTCTGTTGTGATGGTCTGATGGCAGAAATGATTTTCCATAAGTAAGCTTTCTGTTCCTTAAAATAAGGACAAGGAAGAAAAATGACTTTCTGGTCTGATCTGTCACTATCAAGACTGCAAAGAGTGAAGATCATTGTGTGAGGGTAAGGCTCTTACGAATATGTATCAAAAGGCACATGTGAATGTGTATCAAAATGTTGGGCTCTTTACTCTGTCAGACATGGCTATATGTTTTCTAGAACAGAGTCCCAGAATAATAGTATGTGGGTCAAAACAGATTAGCTGAAATAGCAAGAGAATTTTTAGAACTGGAATCCAAATAATGACTTTTTTTAACACTAACTTCAGAAAGACAAACTGAGCAGTCACAGAAGTTTTCATTATCCTCCAGGCATGCAAAAATGGCTTTTTTTTCCTAGTGGCTTAAAGTCCTAGATCTTAAATGACAGCAGCTTAGCCTGCTTTCAGTTTTAATACTTTAAATCTATACTGTGAAACTAAAAAAAGAACTGTATATTTTATCAGTCTGCCCTGCATTTGTGGGGAATTTTATGCAAGGATGATGGTAAAGACAGTATTTCACTTTACTATTGCACTGTTCCTTAGGAGACCAATATTTTGCATTCATTAAAAAATCCTTACAACATTCTTCCTCTGCAAGTATGCAGCATACTGCTTGTGCTGTTTTCTGCAGGAAGTGTTGAGTTTTCACTGAAAAGCTGAATGTATAAAAATCCAGCATGTCTCATGGAGTTTGCAGATTGGATTTACTTCATGAGATTCGGTCCTTGTTTCATCTGTGGGCCATGCACCTGAAGTAGCTTCATCTTCCATGGTGTACTGCTGCATTATTGCCGCTGTGGTATGCCATCTCTTCTGAACTAGAGAGTTGAGATCTTGGTGCTTCATGGAAGATGTAATCTGCCGTGAAAGCCTTGTTTACGGTGAGGAATAAGATGACAAGGTATTGATGTGGCATTTAAAGATACACATATGTCCACTGTTAATTCCCACCATTCCCTCTTTCGGAGATGTTTTCTGTGGTGATCCCTTCATGTCTCTCAGTTTTTCAGTTGATCTGATGCTCATCCCCCATTTGACAGTAGAGTATATTGAGACAGTAGAAGTGCTGGCGTGGTTAACCAGGAGGTGTTGGGCAGCTCTCAAGCGACATGCTTCAGCTCCACAAGTCTCTGTTGGTTAGACTGGGGAGTGCAGTGGCTGTCATTAAATGTCAGAGGAGAGGGAAAACAGGGTTCAGAGGAAGCAACTCCTTTGTATCTTTCAGGTGTAGGAATTAATAGTGTGGTGTAAGAAGCGCAACATAACCTCAGGGAAATGGGCAGTGATATGGGCCTGGCTGTGACATTCATGTTTTCACGGTTGTATTCATCAGAGCGCAGAAAAGAGAGAGGGTAAGCCACAAGAAGCTTAGCTGACAGAAGAGCAACAAAAAGGAAGAAATGGCATTGCAATCTTCTGACTTTAATGTTATGTTAGAATAAATGAATGTTTAACTGATAGATTTGGTTTAATCCTATGGAATAACACCAGGCAGTCATTAATAAGCAGGAATAGCTAAAACGTAGCTGTCTTTTCACTATTAAATACATGGTTTGGCTTCTGCTAAAAACCAGAGGGATGGATGTGAACGTGGTGAAGAACCAGAAAAGAGGCCAAAGGTTCTTCTCTGACTGTCAGCAATCATTAGGGCTGGCAGCCCAGAAAATTGTATTAGAATTACTGATGTGTGACCCTTTTTTCCTCTGTACTTGGCTGTTTGTTAGCTTGCTGGAATCTAAATTTGTGGACCAAAATCATTCAGACGTTTCAGAGCTGGAACTTACATAATCAGTCAAAGAGAAGGATGACAGACTTTTGAGGACATCACCCTTCTGGAGTGATGGAAGACAAATCATGGTGTGTTTTAATGTGCTTGACTCCTGTAAGATTAATCAAGACCTAAAAATATCACCTGTTTCCTGTGGATATTGAAGAACCTATCTTCTTTTTTTGTCTCTCTATTTTTGCAAGATTCTACATATTGGTTATGTTCTTCCTTCTTATTCCTGAGAGCAGCTGTGATTCAGTTCTGCTCTCTGCAAAAAAAATTTCTCTAGGCTGAAAAAAAAGGCTTCTTAAATAAAAACGTTATTTGGTAGCTCTTTTTGCTTTTTGTGCTTTACTCCATGCCTTTTTCTGTGTAAGACCTTTAATTTAGATAAATCCAGAGCACATGTTTGACTTGCAGTATGCCTTTCTTTGTTTAATTAGAAGACTACCTGATAAAAAACTTTCCTTCCTTTTTTATTTTCATGGTTCTGTTTTGGAAGGTCAGACAAGAAATATTTGTGTAAGAATTGCAGGAAAAGTGTATGTGCAGGGGAGAAATGCAGGGAAACAAGCTTGATGCTCATGACTTTGCATAGTAAAATTTGCTGCCATTTTTCAGCATGGTTGTGAATTAATTTATCTTGAGACTGGCAGAGATTTCATACAAGCTTCCGATCATTTCCTTAATCCCAGAATAATCCTTTGTCCTGGTTAGTGGGCTTGTGCCTGATCTCTGTCAGTAAACAGCCTGAAACCGAGGGGGATGTAATCGGGGAGTTCAGAGTGCTCCTGGGGGAAAGTGGGAATGTCCAAGGCCATTGTCGCTCTTCAGCAATCTGTAGCCAACATGTAAAGGCTGCTGACATGACTTACAGCCTATGCCTCTGGTATGTAGGCTTGAAAGGTCCATTCACAGCTAGTCGGAGACCAAAGTAACCTTGGTGATGCCTGGTCTAAACCTTCTGTGTGTTAACTCCACAGTGGGGACCTGCAGGTGACGGGAAGTGGACATTGCCCCTACAGCACTGCCCAGAAAGCCATTGGAAAGGACAACTTCACTATGATTCCTGAAGGGGTCAATGGAATTGAGGAAAGAATGACTGTTGTCTGGGACAAGGCTGTAGTAAGTAATTAATTACTTTTATGGACTAAAAAGAAATTGAGTGTTGGCTGAATAATGAAAACCAGGAGACGCTATGTCAGTACTTAAGTGACTTTCTAATATTTCTGAGAATTCCCTGAGAGAGTGCTACTACAAGGTGAATTGTTTATTTCAAAAACCTTCTCCAGCTTTATAAACTCAGGGCTGTGTTTCACTCTTGACACTGCAACACCGTCATGTTTTATTAGACCTGAGGCTTCACAGATACCACCGCTTAATTTTCCAGTTGTGGATGCTTCTCAGAGATGTAGGATCTGGAGCAGTTTAATGATTTCAAGTGGACCCCATATAAATGTGATGAATGGATTGTTTGAGTTTGGGAAGCGTCTCTTCGTTTCTGAGAAATTACAAATGGATACCAGCCGAGCCTGAGGCTGGATGATGAAGTGCTTTGAAGGAGAACATTGCATGTAATTCATACTGGCATGTTTTGCAGTGGGGTGCCGGTATAAGTTAAGCAATTTTTTGATGGTTCCATGGATCCTAATATATAATGATATTCTCCCTCTGTTGTCCGTCTTCACGTACACACCCATGCACAGACACACGCGTACACACACACGCTCATTACTTTACATTGTATTGTGCTTGAATGCATGTTACAAACTGGGAAGTGGTAGTATTTACACTGCTCTCATGAGCACTTCTCCCATACTGTGTTTAATAACCACTTTCTTCAGGGGCCAATATTGAGATTCCAAGCTCAGAAGCAGCTTCAGATATCTGCCATGTAGGAGCAAAGCAGGAAAGCATGCAAAGTTCAGCCAGCCAGTGATATTTCTCTTGTTATTCCCACAAAGGGAAGGAGCTGCAGCAAGGGCTGCAACATGGGATTTACAGGTGGTAACATTCAACCCTGCACCACTGAGTAGCTTATATTTTGCAAATCTCATGTTTTACCAGGCAGGAAATAAGTGTTTATTTAACACTAAAAAGTTTGGCACTGTTTTTCTTCCTTGGAACATTGTTCTTGCTTATTGCCACGGAAGACCCCAAAATACTCTACTGAGAAATCAAAATGCTGTTACGTACAGCTGCTATTAAGCCATCACTGTCTGTATAAAAAGTTCAATTGGTGGTGACATTTCTCCAGGCAAGGACTTTATAATTGGGCTTGTATTACTTAGATGTATAGGTTTGGTAATACTAATAGTAGAATGCACTTAATTTGCAAGAAATGTTTCTAAACGAGTCTGAATCTTGTTCTTTTATTTAATCTTGTAATACTCATGTAAGTTTCTCTGTTTTAAAATCGTTAAAACATTTAAATGGAAATTACTAGGACTAGCAACAAAACACACTTAGGCATCAGTGTGTAGAGAAAGGGTCTTAGATAGCTGAGCAACTTGGTGGTATCATCTCCATTAAGATTATATGGCCGTTCTTTGAGATGCCAGGAGTAACACATTGATTTATTTGAAACTCCTGAGTAATGTGCCTTGTATAAAGTCCTGCCTGATAAAATCTGTTTCATGCAACATCACCATATATATGAACTACATGCTTTCCAGTATCTCCCTGACCATGCAGTACTCTGAATAGTAAATCCCCATTTTATAAGCATGTTTTGCTCAAATCACATTGTTTTTAGGCCACAGGCAAGATGGACGAGAGCCAGTTTGTGGCTGTCACCAGCACCAATGCTGCCAAAATCTTTAATCTGTATCCAAGAAAAGGCCGGATTGCTGTAGGATCGGATGCTGATGTTGTTATTTGGGACCCTGATAAGGTGAAGACTATAACAGCTAAAAGCCATAAATCGGTAAGGAGAAAAGGAAAACCAGCAAGAAAAAAGAAATGTGACTGTTGCTTTTCAACTGTTGATCTAATTCATGTGAACACCAAACGCACGGGATATAGAGGAGTGGGGTAACTGACTACTCCTATTCTGAAATGGGTAAATGTTTCAGGAGATGAAAGTATTGAAATCTTGCATTGGAAGCACTGGGATCATGAAGGATTTCTTTTCTGTCTGCATATTCTATTGCACTATTTTTTGCATGCTTGTGGTAGATCTGTAAATAGATGTGAATCAGCAGCTCTGCAGCTGAGGTTAGTAAAGCTGTGATGATAAATTTAAAACCAGCTCACTTTTTTTGCTTACCAGAAAAGCATCTGATACTATAAATTGCACAATTAAATCAATAATATTCTAAACTATGAGAGATGATAAAGTATTTTGATAATACAGCTCTGATCAGCTTCAGAGCTGGGATTTTCTATTTAATTCCAAAGCTTTGTCACATACTTCTCTGCCCTTAGTGCAGAGTACCAGCGACTCAGAGCCGCTTCGATTTTGACTGTGACAGGTTTTATCTTATGTGTTGTCTATCTCAAAGTTGTTATCTTATTGTTCAGTGCTTTGGTCTTTTCTATTGGGGAATTATTTTTTACTGGAAATCCAGTAATGTGGTTTATATTAAAAAGGCAAAAAACCTTTAGAAACCTTTAAAAAGTAAGTTCAGGTAATTCATTTTTAATTTCTCTGTCTTGAGATCTCTATATTTTCAAGAAAGTAACAATCACCTGCCCTTCTGACAGTCATTCGCATTTAAATTCAGTCTTTCCTGGTCCTTTCTGGGCTTTTTCAGACCAAAATATGGGTGCTGGCCCCCTTTGAAATTCCCTTACACAGTCACAGCAAATGCATGGTGGGACCGTGTCCTCTGGGTATCTGGCAGCTGAGTCACTATTTTCCTTCTTATTAAGGCTATCATACTTCTAGAGGCTCTAGATAAATACCAAAAGTCCTCAAAAACAAATGAGATAAAGCCTTGATGGAAAGGAAGAAATGGAAAAGAATTCTGATCAGAGAGATTCTTTAAAATCATTTCATACTGAAATGCATTGCTTTTCCTTCAGACAAAACAATTTTATACACCTCTTAATGGCAATATCTAAAAATGTGACTACAAATACAGATTATAAGTTACTAACAGAAATAGATCTTGTACCGAACTTGCAGTGAATATGTTGGTTGATCCTCAGGCCGTTGAGTACAACATCTTTGAAGGAATGGAGTGTCATGGTGCCCCACTCGTGGTCATAAGCCAAGGGAAGATTGTGTTTGAAGATGGAAATCTGCATGTAAATAAGGGAATGGGCCGCTTCATCCCGCGCAAACCTTTCCCTGAATATCTTTACCAGCGCATCAAAATCAGGAATAAGGTAATGTCAGATATTATTTAATCTTCTTTCAAGCCATACCGTCTTGGAACCACAGTAGCACATGTTTTTTATTAGTATTGTGCTAATATGAGTCCATATCAGATGGACTATATATGACTTGTTCTCAAAGTGACCACAGAACTGGTTCCTCTGCAAGTGTGAACTGATACAACTTAATTAACACCATGAGCTTCAGTGGATAAAGCATATAATTGCCTGTTGGGCATAATTGCCTTATGTCCAGCTGTGCAGGCTTTTGAAGGGAGGTAGAATAGTGGTAGAATTTACTTTTAGTTACAATTCAGGAAAAAGATAAAGCTTCTTTGGGAGAACAGTTAGCCAGAAGAAAAAAAGAATCTTAAATTGTTACTGAGCTTTGCGTACTGAGCTGCCACACTGCAGAGAAGAAAATCATGTAAGCCAGAGATAACTGGTTATATTTGGCATCTCTGAACTGTTGTTGATGCATTTGCTGAGCTGAGTATTAGCAGCATTCACAGCTCAGAAAACTTTTCACTTGTGTTTAATAAAAAGCTTGGGAAATGACCAAGATGAAGACTGGGTCACTTGTGTTTTTGAATAATATCAGTGCTCCTCTATTGAAAACGAATTGGCCTGGCACTTGTTCAGGGTTATTTGGAAATTGCTTCTTGCCACTGAGCAAGAAAGTGGCTGTGTGAGGACAAGTAACAAGACAAATTGACTAAACCTCATATTTTCTTCAACCAAGTATATATCATAGACTATGGGGATGGCAGCTGAAATCAAGTCTGTAAGCAGGTTGATAGTTTTTATCTTTCATCATTTGTTAGACAAATTCTGTCAAGCTGTGGGATACAAAAGGTCTGCACTTCTACTAAGAAAAGGCACTGTAAAAATCAAATGCACCTACAAAAGTTTTGCAAAATACTAATCAGTATTGCACTTTCTTTACATTATCCACCTAGATGACATGGACCTTCTCTTCACACTCACCACTCAAGAGTTTAGCGCATGAGAGTCTATATAAATTAGTGACAATGTCATTTAAATACTGAAAACAACACTTTAAAAACAAATATCGGATAGTGGTATCATATACCAGGAGTTTGCACAAAAGAACTGAGCTAGGTAACCTGCGTCTTGCAAGCAGGCCTGGATTTTGGGAAAGACCTTTGATACTTAGGAAAGGTCTGCAAAAGGACTAAGAAAGGGACTGATATTTTTGCTCTTGCAGCTCCCTCTGCTGCCTGCTGAGAGGAAGGGAGAACAAATTCACGTCCGCGCTTCTTTTCCCACTATTGAATTTTATCAGTTGGAAATATTTAGAAAAACCCAGTGATGGTTATATCAGCCACCATACGAATATGTCAGTGCATGACAAAGGAATATAGAAAAAACATGTCAAACAAGGAGCTGCAAAGCAGCACTGGATAGCAGTATAAATTTATCCCTGGAGCAGGGATAGCAGTATAAATTCCTGCCTTTGTGGGTCCCTGGAAGATGGATTCATTGCTGTGATTGGCAGCTGCTCTTTTCTGGGCATTAGTTTTGGCTCAGCCTGCAGGACAGTGGCTCTTCTGAGCCTCATGTCTCTGTCACCTGAAGCAAGGAAAATGCATTGATTTTTGTAAGAGCTGGATCAACCCCCTGTGAATCCTTCTATATGGTATTTTAATTTCACTGTTAACCTGTTGGGGAAGTGGCTCTGAAGCAATAATCTTGTAAGCAACAGATTTTTGATCTTTTTGATCAGCTTTGGATTCTGTGATTCAATGGCTTCGGGCTCTTCCTGCAAATTGGAACTGTTTTTTAAAACTATTATTTCCTAGATTCCTGTGATTTTAAGGACAACAAGGCTGTTTTGACTGTCTTTTCTCATATTCCTTATAGGAATTGTACAGGGATAAAATCTGGAGACCTCAAACTGAAATCAGAGCTCAAATGACAGATACTCTGTTGACAAATAATGAAAGATAGGTCCCATGCCACAGTCTAGTGTGTAATTGCTTTTCTAGTTGATGGCAAGAAGTGGAAACTTTTGAAATTTTAATTTAAAAATTGCCACCGCTTTTCAGTGAGTTCTGATAAAGATAATGAGGTATCTGAAGGGCAGGAGCAGAGAAAATACAGGTAGGAGTGAAATTGCTGCAATCGGTACAATGGGTATCAGTATTGCAACAATCGAAGTGGTATTCAGCAGCTGAACCAACCCTGCTGACCAGCCTCTGACTGGAGAGAGAAGAGGTGATGGTGACTGATCTTACTTAAAATAAACATCTTAGGTCAGACATGTTGTTCTATTGAATCCCACTTCTCCCCATTGACTGCGAAGGAAGCCTAATAAGGATGTCTCTCTTACAATTTTTATATATGTAAAAACAGAGGGAGGAAGTTCTATAATTTCCTTTATAAATAAAGCAGGCTGTAGCTTTGATGAGAGTATAGATGTGTTTTTAATTCAGCTAATGCAGAATATAGCTCTGTGCTCAGTGGTCTCTGCATATAGGCAGGAGTATCATTAGGCAGCATTACTAGAGCATACAGTGTCTGGATTTTTATTCTCCCCTTGATCTAGGTGGGAGGACTGCAAGGAGTCTCCAGAGGAATGTATGATGGGCCTGTGTATGAAATCCCAGCTACACCAAAATATGCAACTCCTGCACCCTCAACTAAATCCTCCCCTGCCAAAAACCAGCCACCACCAATCAGAAACCTCCATCAATCCAATTTTAGCTTATCAGGTAAGTCAATCTGACTCATCAGAAATATTTTACAGCTGTGAGCATGGATTATCAGTGATAAATTTCAGTTATAATTACTTCTTTAATATATAAATACTCAAAATGTTTGCAACCTAAATTTTTCTCTGCATGCAGTCTTTTAATATCATTTACCTGGCCCGTTACAGTTAGCTGAAGTCTCTCGTTGATGTGACCGAGGCCTCTTGGTGGTATGTACAGCTGATGGGACTTGGGTCTGGTGCAACCCATGTGGCTCAGACACCTGATACTTCTTTCTTGCTGCATCACCAGAAACTGCTAGACATAGGAACCTCAACTGTCCTTGTCCGTGGTCGGCAAACCACGTGCAGAAGCTATTCATATGCAGATTAGAGTATTTCTTGTCATCTTTGCTCTTGGTGCCCAAAACATTTTCCATGGTACATAAGAAACAGACTGGAAAAGCATCCTTTGGGGTTGTTGGAAATAATTCTTGTCATCTGAAGACAATTATAGGTGTGTCAAATCCTTATCCTTCAAAAGTCTACAGCCCACTTGGTAAATAAGTGGCTCCTTATGATATTATGAAAGTCACAGGATTTTCTCCCCTGTGGGAGCTGATGGTGGAGTTTTCCTCCCTGACAGATCCTGTCTTTGGAAACTATAAACTTCTGGAAGAAAGCCCAAGGAGAGCAAATATTTTAAAAACCCTTCTAGTGAGCTGAAGTATATTTTTGCCTATACACCTGGGGCCATGGTGAGCATATACAGATATGTAAAGCTATATAAAGCAAAAAAAAAGTGCTTAGAAATTTGTCCTCTAATAATAATAAATTTTTATAAGCATCTGAAGCTGTGGCTTCATAGTCCACTGCTGGATCTGGGCACTACTAAGGCATCTAGTGGTACAAATTTGATCTGAATAAGGCAAATGCACATTACTGTCTTCTTAGGAAATTAAGCAGAACCAGAGACTATGATAGCATTTAAAATGATCCTATGCTTTTATGGTAGTCTTACATTGCCTTTAGGAAACAGAGTATGATCAGACAGTTTTTAGCCTGCAGAAAGCTTGCTGTCACCTTAAGGTTCACCTTTCAACATTTCAAAACACAGTTTGAAGTGGGTGTGAGTTGACATCAGCTCAGTGCTCCTTTCCTCATGGATGTATGCTCGCTAGCATCAGGTTTATTGTATTGTTGACCGATGGACTCGGTAGGGACAGGTATTCTACATCAATGAGGCAGGTCTGAAAAACTCATTCTGCACATACATGTTTTGGGTTTTTTTTGTAGTTATAACAGTAGTATTTTCTGTAAGGATCTGATCTTACAAAGGGAACCCAGTCTGTAGGCTGTCATCCCTTCTTCAAGTCAGTGGAAAACAATTCCCCATGTAGGGTAAGCATCGATCTGATCCCAGACATTTAATCGGACAGTTCTCATTGAAGACAACTGAAGCTAGGCACACAAATGTGCCTTGAAGGTCTGTTTAGCACTTCAGTCAGGGGTCTGGCTCAAGAGAAACCACCTGATGGTGGTGTGAGGGAAGCATAGCTGGAACTAGCCAGGTAAAATCTCACTGCTGATGGTTTATTTCTTTTCATAGCTTTGTTTCCTAATTTTCTGTTGTTTCAGGAGCTCAGATAGATGACAACAACCCACGCCGTACTGGCCACCGCATCGTGGCACCTCCTGGTGGTCGCTCTAATATTACCAGTCTTGGCTGAAAAATGATGATGGACAGAAACAAGGATGAAGGATCATGGGAATAATGTTCGTTCCCTTCAGTATCTGTGTTATCAAACCCACAGTTTTATTTGGTACTAATGGAAATAAAAAACGAAATGTCTTTCTTTTTTTTTGTATAGGAAGAGGTGATAATAGTGTGGTGTGTTTGCTTGGAGCTACTTGCCTCACAATTGTGCTTTCATGCCATAGTCACCTTAAAGCATGGTGCTTCCGTTGCCCCTTTAGTGACTACAGGTTTTAGCTTTGTCTCGTAACTGAATGATGGTTCCTTTGCACCCTTTCGCTGTATTAGAGTAGTTAATGCATGTTACTGAGTTATTTATGCAAGTTGCATTCTGTGAGTGAGTCCCTTTAGAACACGTTGCCAACAATTGACTAGACACAATGCCAAGATTAATGTCCGTATTTGAGAAACACCACCAAAAACACTTATGAAGGAAGAAAATGGCCATCTTGAAAGTATGCAGTAGAGTAGTATAGGCAGCTTCTGTTTCATATTTAATTTATTGTAAACCCAAGAAGCACTTCTCTCAGACACAGAAAATCATCGGGACACGTAAGGACAAATGGTCTCTGTAGCACCTGTCTGTTCCCACTCAGTATGTTCCAAGTCTGTGTCCTTCTTGTTTCCATTTTAGACAGAGCCATAATTTATACATACCAATGCCATTGCCTCCCCTGCAGGGATTTCTCCACCTGGGCAGTAGTGCTCTCCTTCTGCATGAGATTTTTGGTACTTACAGATAATCCAAATTGCCGTCGGATTTTTAAAGTTTTTTGTACAAAGTTTTTCCTTTGTAATCACATGCATTTTTACTTACTCTACCGTATCAAGATCTACTAGTCGTGGTTCAATTTCTGAATTCAAAGCTTGTGAAATAAAGGAAATGAATTGATGGGTAAGCGTCTTGCTCTACTTTCCAGTGCTGTTCCTCAATGATTAAAAATTTAGAATGGAGAAACTCAAGAGAAATTGTCTTTTAGGTTGACATCATGTGAAAGAAGGAACCTCCTTAGATCAGAGGGGGTATTAAATGTATAGATGTCTGCACCTGCATACTACAGGATGCCATAATCTGTCTTAATTAAATAGAGCTCACAGTAAAACTGTACTTACTGTTGACACTGCAGCTGCCTCAGTTTTGGCTAAATGAGACCTAAATTAGCTTTCTCCCAAGACCTTCAGGTCTGCATCTGATTTGCTTGCAATGATAATTGATTGCCATTATCTTCATCTGCAGTACAGAACCAGTATGCAGTGCTCCAGTTTGACCTAAGCTATATTTGACTTAATACTGGTTTTCTCTGCTGACTGAACCAGGACAGTGTTTCGGCATGGCATACACAAGACATGCTGCAGGTAAGGTGAAGAAAGTGGACTTGAATTTTGTCCTTCTGTGAGAGTGAAGGAAATGCTTTCTCCTTGTCTTTCTGACTCTCTCACAATGTAAAGAAACCTTTTCTATTGCTTTTTATTTGTCTGATTGTGTTGCGTATGTTGTGGGAGGCGTGGGCTATGGTGGAGGGTGGGGTGCTACGAAATGACCTCCCCTTGGGCTTGTGCCACTTTGCCCTTGTCTACACTACAAAGCTGCACCAGGAAACGCCTGTAGCTGTGTGGTGCCAGTGGAATGGTTTTATCTAGCTGAGATGCTTGACCACTTAGCACCCATCCAGTCTTCCCATGCAGCAAAAAATTGTGTTGGCACAGGGCATGTGGAGCATGTCTGGTGTATGTGGGACATAAAAGTTTTGGAAAGTAGCCGACCTGAAGCCTGTCATCTTATTTTGAAGCCGGTATGCTATCACCTCCAGCTTGCCTGGGAAAGGAACCACTGCTCTGGAAAACTTCATTTCAGTCAGCTTAGTCTGAAAACCTGGCAGCAGAGCTGGTCTGAATAGCCAGCTTTTCTTTTTGCTTGGCTGTGATCTGAACCAGTGAAGAAACTGCAATTCAGCCTGCAGTGAACTGAATTGATTGCTTCCAAACTAAAAGAAAAAGAAAGCTTTTCATGAACAGTCCCTTCTGCTAAGGATTCAAATTCAGGTTTCCCATTGCCTGGAGAGTGCCCTCACCCCTCGGCTTGCATGTTCACTTGGTGGTTCAGGTATTTTGTATGAAGTAAAAGAACGCTAGCAGAGGAGCCTGAGCACAACGTGCCCTGGAACAACCCACAGCCTTAGCAGGTGAGGCAATCCTGTCCTATTCCAACCCATTCACTATGAGCACTGACAGAGCCAGCAACAGTTCTGGTAATCTAACCCTGACAATAGCAATAAAGCTGGTTTGTGAAACTATGCAGCAAACTTGACAGCGTGAAAAATTTGGAACTGCTGGTTACAATTCCCTTAGTGATTTTCTTCCATGTGTTTGTGCAAGTAGCAATGGTTGCTCACCTCCGAGTAAAACTACTTGATCTACGAGGCTTGTCACACTTGAGATGACAGAAATTATTGTGTAACTAGTATTGACAGATTCCACTTTTCCTACAAGCTAAACAGAATCTTAAACCAAAGAACCCTCTGCCTACAAGCTAGTCAAGATATGCTGTTGTTAACGTGCATTTATTTTTTCACAGTGAAGTGTCTGAATACATACACGTGGGTGTTTGTAAGGCACCTCATGGTTCAGTGCGTCTGTGTGAACAAGACTGTGCTTGTCAGGTCAATGTAACTCTGCTATGCTTTCTCCAAGGAGAAATACGCTAGCATGCCCATGATGTTCGTAAGCCCCTGCAGCCTGACATCCTGCTGCTGAGGGACAGCCTGCAAGAAGCCCATGGATCCTGTGCTGTGCCTGGGTCTCTCCACTCTGGACATGCAATACTACCTGGATGTGATTTAAGCAGCTTTTTTTTGCAGCACAGGTGCCTTACAGCATGGTCACCAGGTGAGGTGCCTTACTTGAATGGTTGCTGTGAGGTACCATCAGCGATGGCACATGCCATCGCTCATGGAGGGTTTAAACAAAGCAAGTAAGTGGTGCTTCTCTTACATCTGGAGGCCTATTTTGCAGCAATGCCCCTGGCCCATCATCACTAACTGGTCCTTAAAAAAATAAAACAGTAAATAAAATGTGCATTCACTGGTGATCCTGAATACATCTGCAGAATAGGAAACTGTACTTGAGTTTGCTCCCTTGTAGGAGCACGAAGCTGGGAGATGTTCAATTTGTGAACTTGTGGGTGGGGAGCTGCTCTTAACTACAAGAAAGTAATGCAAAGCTTTCATGCTTTTTGAATTGTCAAGCTGCTAAAAATTTGTAGCAGGGCTATGACCTTTTAATACCCGATATAGCCGTAATGATGTAAAACTGGCTCTTCCTTGTTGCTATTGGCATCCCCCTTAAAATCACTCCCTATGACCAGCCTGAGGACTATCTTCGTCAATCAGGTGATGTGGAAGAGAAGGCTGGATCCATGGATTGTTTCCTGAGTGATAGTTTGGACCAGTTTGTCTGCTACTGGAGCAATGCAGTTATGTGTTTGAATTTTAGCATTTGTAGCAAAGCCTGTTAATTATGAAGCTTAGACTGTACCAAACTGACAGCTGTCCCAGCCATTAAATGTTTCTCTTGGCAATACACTGATCTTCATCCTTAAGAACTAAACCAGCAGACTGGACCAGGCCAGTTTCTTGGTTTCGGCTGGGATAGAATTAATTTTCTTCTTAGTAGCTGGTACAGTGCTGTGTGTTGGATTTAGTGTGAGAATAATATTGGTAACACACGGATGTTTCAGTTGTTGCTAAGTAGTGCTTACTCTAAGTCAAGGACTTGTCAGTTGCCCATGCTCTGCCAGTGAGGAGGTGCACAAGAGGCTGGGAGGGAGCATAACCAGGACAGCTGACCTGAACTAGCCAAAGGGATATTCCATACCACAGAATGTCATGCTCAGTATAGAAACTGGGGGGAGTTGGCCGGGAGGGGCTGATCATTACTTGGGCATCAGTCAGTGGGTAGTGAGCAATTGCATTGTGCATCACTTGTCTCATCTTGGGTTTTATTCCTCTCTCTTGGTATCACCCTTTTCATTACAATCATCATTATTATT